CCTGAAATCTGTATGAGTTAATTGCATTATGCTTTCACCGAGGATCACTTATACAACCTGGCTTAGGTATACAGAAACAAGTCACATGGTAACCAAGATAAACCTCTGTACCATGGCCAAAGTTCATTGCTGTCCTTACCCTGGCTTTGTGAAAGAGGCAGGGCTTCCCTAAACAGAGAAGACTTTCTCATGTATCTTGCTCATTTGCGCTGAAATGTCTGATCAATCTCTCCCTATCGCAGGGGTTTGTATGTCTTTCCACCTCTGCAATATTTGCTTCATGCTAGTTTGGTAAAATGGTAAATATGGTAAATATGTCTGTTTGACAAAGAGGCTTTATTTCAAGATGGCCACCACTTCTAAATATGGAAACAAGAACTGAACGTTAAAAACTATCTGGCTCTCTAAAAGAATGCCTAGCAGAGTGTGAAAGTTTAAGTATTCAAATAAAATTTCTGCCCATACATATTTGTGAAAGAAATAACGCCTAGGTTCTTCACTTTCAAATAAAATTTTTGAGAGGTCTTACAAACAGGATTTAGATGAAGCAGCTTACTGCGGGTAGAACACTTCCATTCCTAAGTGTAACAACTCAGTACTTTAAGCTTTACTTGATGCTGTAGTCTGCAGAACATGAGTACTCTAGGCTGTAGTACTAGGCCTCCATGCATGCCAGGTGTTTTGGAAAGCCAACTTTCTTTCACGTCTCTCATAAAAATTATGTGTTGATTCAGTTCCTTAGTTCAGCCCTTTTGGGGTTTTCTTGGGGCCCAAGGCCAGACCATATGTTTTGAGCATACTGACTTGCCTTACTCTAGTTTAATTTGTTTACTCTAGTTTAATTGTTGCATTTTCTTAGCTAGGTGGATTGCTTTGTGTCTTGCTACATCCTCCTTTCAGCTGGATGTAGGAAAATGGGTGCTGGGACTGAGAGTCAATATTCCTTCTAGAGTCTAGAGTAAAGCCTGAGATGACTGGATTGGGTAATGTGTGTGTGTATATGTGTGTATATGCAGGAATCTTAGAATCTACCTTAGCCTCCTCACTACATATATGCATCAATGCACTCTCATGTGTTTTAATTCTAAAGGGGTTACTGCTGTTGCTATAGTAATGGCTGAAATACTGTTTGTGTCTGGACTAGCTCAGCTTGTGGAAAGAAATAATATTTTCATACTTGTTCCTGTCAAGAGGCGTTGCTTCACCTCAACTGGCAAAATAAGTGCTGGTTAAATAACTGCCTAGAGGTTATGGCATGGCAGTTATAATCCAAAGGTAATACACCATCAGCAGTTTTTTGCTCTTGGCTGTTACATCTTGCTTTTCTTATTTATTTTTTTTAATTAAATGGTATATCTGACAAGTTGCTTCAAATATATATGCCTGTGGTTTGCTTACTTAATTTTTTTTGCCAGCTTCTAACTCAGTGCAGCAGCAAGAATTTTCAGTCTCTTGATCTTGAAAGGTGTTCCTCAAATATGGTGATTCTGACTGCCTCAAAAAATATTTCACAAGGTATTTTTGTGAGTAGAGTCACATACAGTTTGTACTGCTCAGAGTACTGATTGTTCTAATAGGTAGTTTATGAAACAATACTTCTGGAACTAGGTGGGACTTGGTTTCTGACCTGCTCACTTGCCCTAGCTCCATCAGGGAACCTGCTAAATGTTTAATGAGTGTTATTTACAGCTATGATGTTTGTTTGAGTCTAAGAGAGAGTAACCCTACTGAAAAGTAGCTGTACCACTGCTAGGGCAATTTCTTAGCCTTCTGTTACAGAGAGGTTATTCTCAAAGATTATTTTCTAGTCCTCGAGAAAACTGTATCAGTTTTATATATTTTTAATTTTAAATTTATATATTTAAATATATTTATACTGAGGTGGATTTTATTATTCTATATTATTTAATCATGAGAAGCAGAATAGACTCTTCATCCTTGTAAAATCTGTATTTAATTGATGAGACTCAAAAAAATAAAAAAGGTACTTCTGTTTTCAAATTGTGCCATGAATTCTTTAATGACGTAAATTCACAGTGAATAGCTATACTGTGAAAGGATACACTAGAAGAGTTATCAAGTGTCCAAATAATGTCAACACACAGAAGCAGGCAAGTGATGGTTGTGAAAATGAAGAAAATGTAGGCAGGCTTCTTCTGTGTGGGAATTCTATCCAGCTGTACCTGACAGAGGAGAACAGACTCTCAAGGTCTTGCCTCCTCTGTCAGATCACAGCAAAATCCTTTCAACACATTCGCTGGAATGTTCCCTGAATGCTCTTTGAAAGATTAGTAATCAGCTCATAATCTTCCTAATTCTTGCTGCAAGACACCTACAGTCAAATGGATAGAAACTAGAGCTGGCTGAGAACTGCTGCAGGCTTCTCAGAGGATTAAGACTTATTACTTCTTTCTCGCATTCCTTCAGAAGTGGTGGGTTTGGTTTTATTTTTTTTAAAATGGAAAACCGTAAGAGGAATTTACAAGGATTTTCTTTAATGCTTACATTTCAAGTGAGAAGAGGAGGAATTATTAAACTTAAAGTCAACTGGGGTGTGGCTTTGAGATGTCCTTTTTGACTATTACAATGACTTTAGCAAAAGCAAGCACTGTGGAAGTTTGTAAAAGACTAAGCAAAACTCAGTTATGGCTCTGCCATTCCCAGGACTTGTATTCAGGCTTCAGTAGCAATTTTCATGCCTTAGCTACCTCAATCAGACACGATTTGATGTAGTCATCCCTTCCACAATTATTTTAGTACTTGTTCTGATTGGAGAAAGGCCATTGAAATATACAGCCCTAAATCTGACCATGAGTATAAACTCATGAACTAAAGGACTTGGTGGGGAAGAAAGAATACAATAATATAAATGAAACCTATCAAGAGCTAGTTTTGACAAAATGGTGATAAACTAGTCCTTGATATGAGCTTGCTGAGTACATTAACTGAACCTCTGACTCATGGAGCTATGTCTTCCACACGTAGAATAACCACCCATGACATAACACACACATTAAAGCGATATCCCCAGCCTAACTTTAGAAGTGTTGGTGCTATAGTCCATTAAGAGTTTCTACCAGAACTTAAGTGATTGCACTCAGTTTTTATTCTCTGCTGGTAGCACGTAACTGCTTAGATGTGTGGCTTCTACAGAATGGCATAACTAGTTCTCATCCAGACTTTACGTATTAGTTATCCTATACATTTACAATATACCCCACAGTATCCTATTAAATAATAATAGTGGTTAAAAACTGAGCCTGAAATGGAGGTAGTATGCTGCTCTAAGCTAAAGGATACCTCAAAGGGATTGTCTTTGGAGTTGAAAAACAGAAAGAATAATGTCTTCAAAAGAGAATGGTAACTTGCAGAATAATCTTGTAAACAGCATGAAAAAGGGTTTCAGGTGGAGCTGACATGTGGGCAGACATGACTGTGCTGTGAGTCAAATACAAAGCATGTATGAGCCTGTCTGCTGCTTTTGCATGACTGGTATATTTAATGTGCTTCAGTTCAATCCTGGAAAAATATTAATATCACTGGAGTATCTTCCTACAAGTTGCCAGTGAAGAAACTCATTCAAGTGCATGAGTATGGGAGAACAGTGTGTTTGTGGTACCCTAACTGAATTTTGCAGGAAAGATGAACATATTTATGCTAGGTTCCCCTTCCCTTTTTTACTTAGCTGAGCTGGGTAAAAATAGCAGACGTAGCAAAGCAGTCTACGTAAGATTAGTAGGGACACTTCAGTTGTTAGTATACATTGAAAGCCCCTACATCTGCCTCTTCTTAGACTTAAGACTGCATTCCCAAACCTTGCAAAAAGTTCTTAAACTTTATGTGCCTCCTGGTCAGCTGAACCTGTTCAGTTCTTTCTCTCTTAATCTCTCTCTGGTTCTAATGAAAGATATCAAAACTATGTATTTTTTAACAAGGGCTGTGACAGAGAACTAACAAGTAGGAAGTGGGTATCATGCTACCTGCCTTTTAGTTGGCATTTGCCCCAGCAGGCAGAATACAGAAAAGTGGAAATTGGTAGATTTTGAGCGAAGAGCATCACCATACTGTGACCTATAGACAGGACAAGGTGAGGTGGGATACTCTAATAGTTCTCACAGAGCTGGCGGCTTTGTGAACTTTCTTTGTAAGTGACAGCTAGCATGCTGATGAAACCGTTCGTCCCCAGAGCCTGGCCTCTGGGAGCTGAAGGACTCTATGTGCAAGTTTCTCCCGGACATCAGATACTGAATACCTGTAGCTGTCTGACAACATCGGAGTGGCAGGGTCTGCACGCAGCGCTACCGGAGGCCCCTCCGGACACGAGCACAGCCCGCGCTGCCCTTCCCTGGAGCAGCCGGCCGGGCGGCGCGGCAGATCCCGGCAGAGGCTGCTGGCGCCCGGCACAGACCGCCAGTCCGCCACCGCTGGCTCAGGTGTGCAGAACCGGCCCGGGCTGCCCCTCAGGTAGCCCGGGCACTGGAAGGACACCGCGGGAACACCTGCGGCAAGCTTTGCGGCACCTCTGTCAGTGAAGCCGGTCACAGTGGCGCGAAGCCGTAGCGTGTTTGGAGGTGGGGCTGCAGGACGGAGGAAGGACGGGGGCCTCGACAGGAGTCTGGGACGACGCTCCGCTTGCTCCGACCCGTTCAGCCGCACTCTCCGACCGCCCACGGGCCCGGCGGCCCCGGGACAGCCCATGCCGCCCCGGCCGGGAGGCAGCGCGGGCGGTGTGTCGCGGGCGAACACCAAAGGCCAGCGGGGCGCGACCGGCGGGGGCGGGTCCTGCCATGCAAACGAGGGGGCGCGGCCGCCGGAGCCGCGGGGCGGCCGGGGCGGGCGGAGGCGGCGAGCGCGGCCCCGGTCGGACCGGGCGGGAGCAGCGGTGCCGGGCCAGAGCGGGCCGGATCGAGCGGGGGCGGCCGGGAAGGGCGAGGGGCGGCACCGCCGCTGGGCTGTGAGCAGTGGACGGGGCGCGGCGGCCGCAGAGATCTCTCGCGGCGGGCAGCGGAGAGGGAACATGGCGAGCGTAGGAAACGGCACGGAGGAGAGCGGCGGCGGCGGCGAGGAGGTAAACGGAGGGCGATTGCTGAGGGGCTTCGGGCGTGCGGGCAGCGAGCGGCCCGGCGGCGGCGGGAGAAATGCGGGCGGGGGCTCCGCTGCACGGGCCGTCCCGGTCGCCCACCTGCTCCGCGGAGGGGGCTGATGGGCGGGCGGCCGGACAGGACAGGGGCAGGCCTGGCCGCCGGTCTAGGTACGAGTCCACCGCCTGGAGTTGAGGAAGCTGTCCCGGCACACCGGGGCCGCAGGCGGCCCCTTCCCGCACCCCCCTTCTTCGCTTTTTTCTTTTAAAATTATTATTATTATTATTATTATTATTATTATTATTATTATTATTATTATTATTATTTTAAAAATTTTTCTTTAAGCCCAGCTTCTGCGCTGCTCCGTGCGAGTGTGCCGCGCCGGCGCTCCCGTGTGCGTCCCTCCCGGCGGTTGGGCGGGCGCGACCCCTGCGCGGGAGCCAGGGACAGGTGACAGGTGTGCGGGCAGCGGCGACCCCCGGCTCTGCACAGCGGCCGAGGCCTCGCTCTCGGGGTGTCCGAGAGGGCCCCGTGTGCGTGGGGTCTTCCATGAGCACCTTCTCTGGGAAGTGCAGTCGGTCAGAGCTGTAGTTGATTTAAGATGCCTTTATAATTTCGCCGTTGTTTTATTAAAGGACTTTCAAATTCCCCAGACAGAAGTCCCCTTCAAACAATCGCTTGAACTTGAAGATATACCTTGTAATACTGTCAGTCTAGGAGAACACGGTAGCAAGATTCCTTGACAAAACCTCTTGGAAACTGGTGATTATATTGTCGTAGATGGGCTTTTGAGAACGGTACTACCTAACTGAGGCAGTTTTAACTGGAACGTGCTTTTAAACACAGATCACAGTCCTGGCATGCATGTGTGGGAATACAGACTTGTCTTATGACTGTCCAGTCTAGAATGAGCGATTTTAGCGTTGTGTGCATCCAGCAGCTTCTTCAGGAAGATTGGCAAGGCAAATCTGCCCAAATTTTGCTGAAGACAATTTATGAATGAAGACGTAATAGGTTGGGTTTTATCCAGTGCCCAGAGTTTGAGGTGTGGCAGTGCTTTGTACCATGGGGCAAGTGACTAATGTCTATGTAGAACTTACTATGCTGTAGTTCAGTTGGACTAGCTTGTTCTTGTTCTTGGTTAGAGAATGGGAATGAATATACGTTAGCCTGTATTTCAGAGCATGGTGTGAAAGTTTCTACTTCCTGAGGTTATATGTGGCAGCAGTGAAAGGATGTGAAATGCTTGAATTTCATTGTGTACTAGAGTGAATCACTGCAGAATGATAAAGTCATCTCTTTGAAGCTGAGAGATTTGTTTTCCAGAGTAGGGGGAAAAAAAGTTATTAACTACCTCTTGCAGCTCTCAGTAAGCTGATAGTCAGAGTTCACAGTTGTTAAAACAGGTATTCAGCAACTTTGTTGTTTCCCAGTCGTTCTGTGTGAACAGTAGGAAAGAATATACTTCATTGAGTTTGGTGTTAGATGCCAATGCTTTTTAGAGTAAAAGAAGCTGCCATGCCAAAAAAACCAAAACAAACAAACAAACAAAAACCAAAAAAAAAGGAAAGGTAGGCATGAAAGCCCATGAAGAGGCATTATTTGAGCAATACTTTACAAAAAGTGTGATGTTTTCTCATTATAAGCCTAAAAAACATGCTCTTTGCAAGTGCTTAATTTGCTTAGTGCTTGATTCTTTGGAGTCTGAAACACACCTGTAGTGGTAATGCAGCAAATACTTCAGTCTTTCCCGGTCAGAATTCAGGAGGAGAGGGTAGATGGTTATCTTGGGGATGGATGGTCACTGCTTTTGTAACAGAATTTTTCTAGACCACTGTAGACTGTCTTTGCCTACAGGTTCAGTATAGTGTCTTCACAAATAAATAAATAAATAAATAAGCTTCCTGTGATTTCATTCTTATGGTAATTGTTTTAGTGTGTTAGCTTTTTTTTTTGGTGTTTGCAGTGGCTGTGATGCTGAGAAAGAGGTAGCAGAACAGCTCTTTTTTTATGAGCTACATGCATCTAAATAGTATTGTTTACTTAGAACATAGCAGATGGGAGCCTTGCTTCCTGATTTAAGTGTACATGCTTAGTACTATATGAACATAGCTTTTAGCATAGAATTTTGCTTTGCAGGGACTTCTTCGCCCCTGAAGCTTTGAAGAGGAGTATGTTAAGCTAAACCTTGAAGTTGTTTCCTACTTAACAGGACATAGACCAGCAAGAACTCTTCTTCTAAAGTCCAAGCATAAGGTACCAGATAGCTGCCCCCTGCTGTAGTCTGTCCCTGAATAAAATTCGTGCTTTTCCTGATGCTTCTTGCAGCTCAAGGAAGTGCCAGATACCATGGGGTTTTTTTGTTTGTATGGTTGGTTTTTTTTGGCTTTTATTATTGTTTGTTTGTTTGGGGTTTTTTTCTGATTTATGTCTCGTTGTTCTGCAGCTGTGGCTTTCTGATGGGAACAGCAAGAAAATGGTATGAAGTGTAAATAAATCTTGAGATTCTTTTTAAGCCAACTAACACAAGTGTATTGGTTTTTTTTATTTAAAGGAAAAGAAACCCACCAAGAGGAACCAGAGACCTATGACTAAGAGGCTGTATAAATGAGATAGTTATTGGTATGCCGTCTGGGAAAACAAATGCTGTTAAACTCAAGATTTTCCTGAGTGCAGTGTTGCTTCTGTGGTATTGAAGTGTGTTTGTGGTCAGTCTCTACTAGGGACCAGTTTCCTGATTACTATGTGATCAGTGTATTCACCTGCAGTGTGGCCAGTTGTGAACTCAAACGTGATATACCATCGACACTTAAACTTCTATATGACACTGAATATACCCCCTAAAAGAATTCATACTGTATTCTTTTGTAATGGGTTGGAAATCTAGAACAGATATACTTAATTTTAAGAACAAAGTAGCATTCACAGCCACTGGAGAGTCTTAAAGCAAAACTTTATTCTTCTCCCCATCCACCCTCTTCTTCCCACCCCC